GAGGAGTAAAGAGAGGAAGAGGAGGAGTAAAGAGAGGAAGAGGAGGAGTAAAGAGAGGAAGAGGAGGAGTAAAGAGAGGAAGAGGAGGAGTAAAGAGAGGAAGAGGAGAAGGAAGAGGAGGATTGAGGGAGAGACAGAGATGGAGGAGGATGGAGAACCATGCTTGTATCTGGAGCAGTCCTGGGTAACAACATATATCTAGGTTAGTTAATTGGGAAACAACTATAATTATGTGGGCATATTGTTATTGAGCATTACCAAATATATAAAGCCTTTGATTAATATTTAAGCATTAGAGTCTCATTTCCTACCAGGCCCGCGTGGATGGCGGAATGGTCTGGGCACAGCCCAGCCTTGTGGAGACAGTGTGGAAGTTTGGCAGAGCCATCTCCCACTCTGGCATTTCGTGGGTGGCAGGGTCGGTGTTTCTGGCTGGTCGTTTGTAGCTGCAATGTGCACGTGGCCTCGGGCCACAGAACATGACTGCAGAGCTAAGCAGAGCCGCCCCAGCTTAGATAGTTGGCTTGACCAGCGGCCTTCGTTTAAATATCTCCCATAACAAGAGAGGACCCATGGAATTACAGTTAGAGATAGTTGTGAGCCTCCATGTGGGTTCTAAGAACCAAATCTGGGTCCTCTGTGAGAGCAACAAGTGCTCTTAACCACTGAGTCATCTTTTCAGTCCCAAGAGATGAAACTTGGCAAGCAGCTTTTGACTAGATTTTAAGGATGGAGGATTATTGCACACACCTGAGTGGAAACATGAACACCAGCATCCTGTACCACCCACAGGCTCAGACTGATGGCTGACATATTCCTAGCAGTAGAAAGGGGGGTGTAGGGGGCACATGGGCAGCATAGAAAGAAAGGGAAATTATGGGGACATGAAGAGGGAATGGACTCCCTCGTGCCCTAGAGTCTGACAGGAGCCTCTATATATCAGATAAGAACAGTAAGTATCCGGCTGGAGAGATGGCTCAGCTGTTAAAGACTAAACTCACAACCAAAAATATAAGAGAACAATAAGTATTTGCTGTAAAGGCTGCTGTCATAGAGTTTATATTCCTTTCATGTATAGATATTTAATGTTAAAGAAGCAAAGCTCCAGGCTTAAGGCTTGGATATGCATGCCCTTGGTTATAACTTCATTCCTTTACTCTCGTTGACCATGAAAGTGGTATCTTAGAGAAATCCTATCTTGAAAAACAAAAAAAAAATGAATGAATGAAAGAAAGAAAAGAAGAAAGAAAAAACAAAGGAAGAAACAAAGAAAGAAAAAGGAGGAAGAAAGAAAGAAAGAAAGAAAGGAAGACATCTGTATCTTTGGGACTATTAATTGTTTTGATAAACCTATTTCCTTGAACTGCAAATCCAAATAAACCCTTCTTCCCTTACATTGCTTCTTGGCAAGAGTACAGCAGCAAGAAAACCAATGAATACATTATAGCTGCTGAGACCAGCCGGAAGCATCCTGAGCAATTTCTTGAACATACAAGCTTTTTTGTTCCTTGACACTTCCATAGCCAGTGGTAGGAGCCCAGTGGAGGAGATGGATGGAGGTCTCATTTTCAGCTCTTCCTTGTAACTGCCTCTTACTGTGTGTCTGTAAAGCTAGGACAATGCTTCCTTCTCTGCCTAATTCACAAATGGTTCCTAGGCTTAGATGGCATTAGCAGTCCATATGAGACCAACTACTACAGGCTCCACACACTAAGAGCCTATGACCCTCACTATTTTGTGCTTCAATTATTTCTTCTTTTATTATTTTTTCCATTAAAAAATATTTTATTCAAATTATATTTTCTAAAAGAGAAGGCTCCACATGAGTGACCTTTGGAAGTCCTTGTTTGAGAACCACATTCTCTGGACTGAGCATTTCAGTTAGACTTGGTGTCATCTGGGCTGGAAAGACAAACAGTGAATGACAGAGCTAAGGTGAACCTTACACAGCATCTTTTGTGGGGAGTGAGAACTGACGACAGAAGTCTGCGGGGCCAGACTGTCTGACAATTCCACCCAAGTTCCCAATCCGAGCATCTGTACAGTATTCATACCTCCTGATGGGCATGGGCTTCTGTCTCCAGGCTCCCCACTACCAGGAAACTGGGGGGGGGGTGCTCTCAGCTCCTTCATGCAGCTAGTGGGGCACCTGAAGCTAAGAGTGGATGCTGATTTTATCAAACCTAAGAACCTTCCAGAATTTGCTAGAGAGAACCTGCCTCTCCCTATATAGCACCAGGACCAGGATACAAATACCTTTTGTGGTTTTGTTTTTGAGACAAGGTTTCACAATGTAGCCAAGTCAGCCTTGAATTCACAATCCCTGTTCCCTCGCTGTCCTGGGTGCTGGATGAAATTACAGGCATGAGACGCCACAGTAACCAGTGTAACCAGTGGGTTATTTTATTCAATATAACGTCCTCGGGTTCTTCCATGTTTTAATGAATGTCAGGACTAATTTGAGCAGTGCAAATTGTGTACACACACCAAAATAACAAATTGCACCTCATGAGTGTGTGCAATCATCATTTCAATGAAATAAACTTCTAATGACACATCACAAACTTGAACGGTGTGAGCTTCAGAATGCACAGTGAATAGGAGAAGTTCTCGTTTCTCATTAAAGTTTTTTGTTTATTTACTGGTGGTGTGCATGGTGTTCGTAGAGATCCGAGGACAAAGGCTTTAGGGAGTCAGTTCCCTAGATCTACTTTGTGGGTCCTAGGGATCTGATTCAGTCTGCCAGGCTTGAGTGACAAGCCAGCTCTCTGGCCCAAGTTTTGTTCGTTTTATTTTGTTTGTTTGTTTTGTTGTTGTTGTTGTTTTTCTTTCTTTCCTCCTCCTCTTCCTCCTCCTCCTCTTCCTCTTCCTCCCCTTCCTCCTCCTCCTTTTCCTTTTCCTTTAGACAAGGTCTCCCTGGTAAGCCAAAGCTGACCTCTCAATCCTCTTACCCGAGCCTCAGCCCTTTGAGCGCTAGGACTATGGCATGTGCCACCCTGCCTGGCTATTTCTGTTCATTTCATATCAGAAGACACTTCCTTTCCCCGCTTGCTCTGGGATTGTCCTTTCTGTCTTCCCTTCTATCCCTTCCTCGTTCCTCCCTCTCAGGCTCACGATAGAACCCCTTGTGGGTCCCCTCTAGAAATCCAAGACGGCTGCCTTTTCCCAGACCTTGTTTAGAACCTTGGGTGGATGCAGTGGGTGGAGGGGATGTTATGAAAGAAGAGAGGGCGGCATGCCGGGGCTGAGATACGGAAGGAGAAGTGCACCGTATGTCAGTACAAATTACATCACAGTTTAAGTCAGGGCACAAGCACTCTGTCCTTAGTGTAAAGGTGAACGGTCAGGGTGGGGAGGCCCACTCCGGAAGGATGAGTAAAAAGAGGTCTTCCTTTTGAGTTTCACTGCACTGAACTGCACTGAACTATAACACTTGGGCAATTTTGTCAAGGGTAAGCAAGCTGATTTGGAGAAGCAGTTGTGTGCTGGGAATGGTCCTGCTTTGTGGCGTTTGCTGATTACTGGGGTGTCAATATTCTCACCATATCTGATTTGAAGTTTTCATTTACTGTAGAGAAGGGAAAAGCCCATAGTCAACTCCCAGGAGTTGGGACAGGGTAGCTCCAACCACCGTTGTGTCTGGAACCTAGTTCAGTCATTACAGCATTCCCAGCCTAGTCTCCAGACTGTCTAAAGATATCATCATGATTGTAATCATCACATCATCTTCACCATCCTCACCACCACCATCATCACCATCACCACCATCATTGTTGTCGACATCATCATCGTCATCACCTTCAGTCAAGGCAGCTTAAGCCCCATAAGCGTAATACAACGAATGCATCTAATCATCTTACTCAGCCTAAAGATCTAGATTTCATCTTGCTTTTGTTTGTTGTTCTGAACCAGGCTCTCACGGAGCCAAAGCTGGTCTGGAACTTCCTATTTACCTGACCACGCCCTTCAGCTTCCGGTGACTGTCTAGATCATGAAGGTGTTGAGGGGCTTGGAGATGCTCCAGGCGCCTCTCCCTTCACTCATAAGAACGATGTTTGGGGGCCATCAAGATGGTTCAGTGGGCACTCGCTACGTAAAGCCGGTTGTCATAGTTAGATCCCTGGACTCACCATAACAGTGGAAGAAGAGAGAGAGCTAACTCTACAAAACTGGCCTCTGACTTCACATCACCGCCCACAACCACACATACCATGCACGCACATAACAAAAAGAAAAAAGAAAACTACGTGTGGACAGAGTCACTCAGCTGGCCTCTTCCTTTAAGCCCTAGCCACTACTGAAGAAAAAAAAATGTAGGCAGATATGGGGTAGCTTCTATGTCCTGTGAGGGCCCAGCAGCAGCAGCAGCAGCAGCAACAGCAACATCAACAAAAATGCAACTTAAAAAGTCATCTGCAAAGATGAGAAATATCCTCAAATTTCCATCCTCAATGGTTTCTCACAGGAAAATATGTTTTCCCCCCTTTTTGTTTGTTTTATTGAGACAGGAGTCTCCTTATATGGACCAGGCTGATCTCAAGTTCACACAGATCCACCTGCACCTTCCTCCCAAATACAGAAACTAAAGATATGCTTTGCCTAAGTCTCTTTTAAAGATTTTTTTTTTAAGGCAAGATCTCACTATGTAGCTGAGGCAGGCCTACAACCTCCTGCCTCCGTCTCCTGCATGCTGAGATTACAGGTACCCACTGTCACAATGGGCTATACATTATTCCTTACAAACACCTCCAACCTCTGTAAACTAAACCAGCAAAAGCAAGGCCATTGCTGACTTCTGCATGGCGCCCCACAATCTAGAAGATCTCTGTCTACGCTTTAGCATAAATCACTGCCTTTCCACTTCACTGGCTGATCCATCCTTCAAGACTGACTTCTGTGGAGCCTCCATGAAGCCTCCATCCCTCCGAGGGCAGATAGAGGGGCTCTGGTGTACTGGATATCTACACAATCGGTCTGTGTTGTAGCAAGACTCACCCTGTAGTATAATCGCTTGACTCCCTCATTCAAACAGGATTCCCCTTTACTGGGGAAATTGCTTTACAGTTATAACATTTAGAACAATCCAGGGTTGAAGTTGATGCTTAGTAATGGTTTGTAGGATCCATGAATGAATGCTGGAGTATGCGATAGTCAAAGAGATGAGTGAATGTGTGTGTGTTCCCCCTGTCCCCAGGCCCCACCCCCACTTCTGCTGACACCTGGATCCTGGCTTGAACCCGGGACTCCGACTCTCCCGACCTCTGCAGACTTAGGTTCACAGATCAACCGCCCTACTCACCTTGGAAGCAGAGAAGGAGCAGACCTGTGCACAGCCACATACTCCTGTCTCGCTGGGTGCCGTCTCCAGAAAACTCCAAGTAGCTCCTGGAATCCAGATGTGGTGTGACAGCCCAGGCAACCACCTTCTTGTTCAAGTTCTTTCTGTGTTTTTTTCTTATCTGCTTCCTTCTCACTCTGAGCTACTTCCTAATTTAACAAAAAAAGGAAGATGAGCAAGAGTCACTTCAGAGAATGAACAGATTCATTGCACGGGCCTGCACTTAATAAAAGCACGGTTGTCACAGCCTGAAGCTTCAGGAAAGCCGCTTGCTAGGTACAACAGCCCTTTCTCCAGCTCCCTTTCCTGTTTAGTACACTTGCCAGATTCCCACTGCTTCCCCTTGCTATGGCTACCAACTTTGGGGTCTTAAGTGCCCCCTACTCAAAGAGCAGAGATGAGCAAGCCCTCTGTGTCTTTCTCAACCATTGCTTCTGTGCAATTTACCTCAGGCCTTCTCTTGCAACCCAGCATCCCAACATCCCTCCAGACTCAATGTTTGACTTCCTGTGGTCAAGCTCTACTCAAGAATCAACTACTCCCCTTGTTCAGAGTCAAGGTCACCATCCAAGGTGCAGACCCCAGGGTCATTGAATTCAACCCCTGTTTCTATCTGTTTGCAACATTATTTGTGTATCTTCTGTGTGTGTACACACATGCCAAGGTGCATGTGTAGACATCGGAGGACAACTTGTGGGGATCAGTTCTTTCCTTCTACCACGTAGGGCTGGAGGATCAAACTCGGGCTATCAAGCTTGGCAGCAAGCTCCTTTAACCATTGAGCCAGCCCTTGCCCATTTCCATCATAAGCTAACAGTGATCCCCGGGGCATGTTGGGAAATCATTCTCCCCTCCAGTTCCTTTATCTGTGAAACAGAATAATCACAATTCTTTTGTTGACGGCTTTGCCTATTATTTATTATTCTTTGGCAATTTCTCTTATATATACTGTATTTGTGTTATCCTCTCTCCGCTTCCTCCTACTGCCACTAAATCCAGTTTTTCCTTCTCAACATGTTCCCTATTTTCATGGATTTTGTTTGTCTGTGTTTTGTGCTTCATTCTGTGACACACTGAGTTAATTTACAGTTGTGTACATGGGTGTGGGCTGGCCGGCTGTGTAACTGGAGCATAGACAACTTCCCTCTTCCAGAAAAATAATGATAATTCTTTTTTAAGGGTTGACTCATTTTTATTTTGATGTGTGTGAGTGTGTGCCTGAAGGTTTGTCTGTGCACTACTTGGATGCCTGGTGCCAGAAGAGGCCAGTGAAGTCCCCAGAACTAGAGTTATAGACATTTGTGAGACTTCGAGTCTCCCCACAAGGAGAGTCAAACCAGGGACTAGAAAGTTCTCAGCAATTAAGAGCACTTGCTGCTATTCCAGAGGACAAGGACTCAGTTCCCAGCCCCACAGGGCAGCTCATCTAGTTCCAAGGGTTTCTGGCCTCTGCGGGTACCAGCACGAACAGAATGCACATATAGACCTGCAGGCGAACTGCTCATACACATAAGCACAAACAAACAAATGTTCAAAAACACACAAAAAAAGATCAAACTAGTCTCCAGCTCTTTCCATTTGGCTGTGTGTGAGTGTGTGTGTATGTGTGTGTGTGTGTGTGTGTGCAGCTGTGTGCTTTTCCATGCCTGATCTTGAGTTGTTTAAACTAATACACATAATACACAAATACTCATAAATTTCTGAAACTCTCAAAGAATAAATAAGGAATTGAAAACAAAACCAAGCAGTTTTAAGGGAAAAAAAACAAAAACAAAACAAAAAACAAACAAATCAAAATGGAAGCCAGTCATGGTGGTGCATGCCTGTAATCCCAGCATTCCCAAAGTGGGGATAGGAAGGTTGTTGTAAATTCAGGGTTATCCTGGGCTACAGAGTGAATTAAGGGCCAACCTAAGGTACATAGCAATGCCCTGTTTCCGAAAAAGCAATAAATAAACAAGAATAAAGGGAACAGGAGTTAGCAAAAGCAAATATGATTTAAAACATACAAAACGGATCTAATGTGATGTCTTCTCAGTGCGACCCAAATTCCACAGGCCTCAGTAGCTTGGGTCCATAAGAACCTCTCTCAGAGGTGTCAAATATGGAGATTCTCTACAAATAGCAGACCCAAAGTTTTCATTCTCAGTGAATCAAAGTCAGAAAGGAGAAATGTCCAGAGTTGTAGCTGTAAAGGGAACAGGAGGTTAAGGGCAAAAGGTACCCGAAGGTCAATGGGGGAGTGGCCTGAGGCTGTAGCAAGGGCAGGGAGGAGAAATCTAAATGGGCAGGGTGGGCTAGAAGCCAACAGCTTAAGCCTGGGCTAGGCAGGGATCAACAGCAAAGCTGCCTGCTGTGAACTGAGATTCCCCTAAGGGTCACTGCAGCCACAGAACAGCAAGTGAGGGGTGCTCATGGCTGCATTGAGCTATCTTGGGAGAGTCATGAGCCACTAGAAAGTCCCCCAGAACAGGAATTTAAGGCTAGCAAAATGGCTGAGTGGGTAAAGGTTCATGCTGCTTAGCCAGAAGACCTTAGTTCTTGCTCTGTTCCTGGGAAATGCTTTCCTTCATAAGAAAGAATAGGAAGCTAAAAGGCCACTTTTACAGGGCTGTGAAGATACCTCCATCAGTAAAAGGCTTGTCACCAAAGCATGAGTGTCTGAGTTCAGAACCCCAGCACTGAGGTAAAAAGCCAAGTTCAGCTGTGTGTGCCAGTGATATTAGCAGTGAGGATGAAGAGAGGCAGGAGGATCCTTGACACTCACTGCCCAGACAGTCTAGCTGAACCAGTGAACTCCAGGCTCAGTGAGAGACCTTGTCTCAAAAATAAGGGAGAAAGCGCTTGAGGAAGACAGCTGGTATTGACTTCTGGCCTTCATATGCACACCTGTGCATGAACATACACACACACACACACACACACACACACACACAGAGCCATTCTTACCAGCTTCATAGATTTTTTTTCTACTATGAAAAAGCCATAGAGAATCAAAAATGGAGAGATTCATAAAGAAAGTGATCAGACCAAGCATGTGGCCCATGTCTTTAATCCTAGAATTTAGATAGATCTCTCTTAGTTCAAGACCAGACTGGTCTACATAGGACAGCTAAGACTACACAGTCATACCCCATCTAAAAATAAATGAACAAGTAAATATACCACCTAGGAGACAGGAAAGATGCACACAGGGTTTGAAGAGGTGTTTCAGTGGTTAAGAGGATTGGCTTCGGAGGACTCGTGTTCAGTTCCCATCACACACAGGATGGCTCAAAGCAACTTGTTACTCCATTTCCAGGGGATAAACGTTTTTATTTTTTTCAAGAAATACACTTGGAGAGCCTGAGAAATGAATCACAGTTAAGAGCACTTGTTCTCCCAGAGGACCTAGGTTCAATTCCCAGCACCAGGGGATCCAAACAACCTCCTCTGGCCTCTGTGGGCTACAGGTATACAGCTGGTGCACATACAGATGAGCAGGAAAAACATTCATGAACACAAAGTAAAATAAACAGTCCGTGATGTATGGCCACTGTAGAAGGGACAGTGTGACATAGTTCCTGGACCTGGAGCAGAGCTAGCAGGGCATGGGCCTCCGAGAGTGCTGGTGGTTACTAGCTGTGAGGCTTGTTTGTATAATAATGTACATAATTTACTTTATGTTTCTCCTTTGGGAAATATTCTCCCTGCCAATGTTAATGACTCCATGATAATTAGTAGCAGCACGAGCCCAGGAGGCAAGGGTGTGTCTAATGTCCTTAGCAAAATGGTTAATGTTGAGACCTTCAGGACAGCCCTTAAGGCTGTGGGAAAGAACTCTGAAAACATGTGTACAAGAATGTATGATTTCTCAACTATGTAAAATATAAGGATGCAATATATATCACATGATGGGCTTCACAGACCTAAAAGAACAGAGGCAGCTGCACTATGAGTCAGCTTGTCAGAAAGATATTAAGGAAGGAGATAAACATTTAGGGAGTAGTGATCCCAGGGCAAGATCCTACCCAGCTAGCTTCAGATTCCTGAGTTCAAGGTCAGCCTGAGACAGAACAAGTTTAGGCCCAGGCATGGTGGGAATGGGTATCTCAGGACAGGATCCCACCCAGCTAGCTTATTGTCTATGCTTACAAAGGAAGGCAGATCTCTGAATTAAACAAACACATTAAAACAAAACAAAACCATACTTGCCTTCTTTTTCTAAGAATTAAGGGGCTGAGGTCATGAAATGCTGATTCATGGGATAATCAAAAGAGAACCTGGGGTAGAGAATTGAATTGATTTGCAAATAAAAGAATGGGCTTTGGTCTTCAGGAGCTGAGCTGTCTGGGGATCTCTGGAAAAGCTATCTCAAGCAGAACACAGAGCTTTCAGCTTATACCCATGATTGACTTCAAGATGGTCTTTTGCCTCTCCCAAAGACCCCTTCCTCAGAACCTCTCCAAGCCGAGGATGGTTCTTGGCATACATCTAAAAAAATTTAAAAGAAACTATGTGATCTATGTAAATGACTTTTTAGCTAGAAGACAGAGAGAAAGAGATCTACGTATGGATGATAGGGATATATGGATAAATTGACAGAAAAACGATTGATGGAAAGATATATGATAGTCAGATAGGTGATAGGTAGGTAGGTAGGTAGATAGATAGATACATACATACATACATACATACATACATACATAGATACATAGATAGATACATAGATACATAAATACATAGATACATAGATATATAGATACACAGATACATAGATAGATACATAGATAGATACATAGATAGATACATAGATAGATACATAGATACATTGATACATAGGCAGGCAATACAGTTAGTCTTTTAAATTTTTTATTTATTTCACTGAGTATGATGATGCAGTTTTAATTCCAGCACTTGGGAACCAGAGATTGGTGGATCTCTGTGAGTTTGAGGCCAGCCTGGTCTACACAGTGAGTATCAGAACAGTTGGGGCTATGTACAAAGATACTATCTCAAAAAATATTTATGCATGGCTGTTTCACCTGCATATATGTCTGTGCACCATGAGTATGCAGTACCTGTGGAGACCAGAAGAGGATGTCAGATCTCTTGGGACTGGAGTTGCAGACCATTTGAGCCACCATGTAGGTGCTGGAATGAAACCCCAGTCCTCTGGAAAAGCAGCCAGTGTTTTTAACTATTGGCTCATTCCCCCAGTCCCAAATACACAGTATTTTAAGTTAGTGAAAGTAAGCATTTGAATCTCAGGACTCAGAAGGCAGAGGCAAGTAGATCTCTGAGTTCAAGGTCAGCCTGATCTACAGAGGAAGTTCTAGGACACCCAGGTCTACACAGAGAAACTCTGTCTTGAAAAACAACAACAATGAACAAAAAGCAAGCACTGGGCCCCCAGCATGAGAGAACGAAAGGTCTCAGATATTTCTCACTGTCTACAGAGATCCTGGTGAAGAGCGCAATGACTGGCTCAGTGGGTTATGCACTGTCAGTGAAGGGTGTAGTCCTTCCTTCCTGACAGGGCTATGGCTTACAGTGGCAACTGGAACATTTAGCTTCTTGGACAGATCCAAAGCACAAGGAAGCATTTCTGGAAAACAGGAAGTGGTTGTTCAACAGTTGCTTTACCAGTTGTGGTGGGAGGTCCTGACTATCAGTCTGGCTGGATGTGGAACTCACTTTTGAGTGTGCCTAGAAGTTTTCTTGTGTTTCCAGAGAAGTTTAACTGAGGAGGAAAGAGCCTTCCTGAGCATGGGTAGTACCATCCCTTGGGATAAAACTGGAAGGAGGATGGGCCAACAAGATGGCTGCCAAGTAAAGGCACTTTCTGTGAAGCCTGAGGACCTGAAGTCAATCCTTGGGAACAACACTTTGGAATAGAGGACAGACTCATCTGATCTGTGGACCATCACACACACACACAAACACACATGCATACAAACATACATACTATGGACACACATACATACAGAGACACATACATGCACACAAACACACACAAATAGATGCACTCATACAGACACAGACACATACAGACTCTCACACACATACGCACACAAAGACACATACGGACACATACACTCATAGACACACACAGATACACAGAGAGATAGGCACACATACATACACGCAGAAAGACACATACAGACTCAAACACACACACAGGGACACATACAGATAGACACATGTTGTGGATAGCCTCGGCCTTGTATTTTGATACTAATTCCCCTTTCCTGTGAAGGGCTGCAGAGGAGGTGCGAGTCATTACACAGGTGAATTCTAGTGAACCTTCTGCCCATCTTAATTTGTAAAATAAAGGCTGGAGCCAGTGATTGGGCAGAGGAAGGGGAGGTGGAGAAATAAAGGTTGGCGGAAGAGAGCAGGGGGGAGGGCTCGAGGAAGACAATGGAGGAGGAAGATGACGAAGGAGAGGGCAACTAGGAAGCAGGAGGTAGAAGGACGGACGCAGGGTCTGGAAAATCCTTAAGTTATAAGGGTCTCATAGCTGGGGAACAGAGTAGTGTAGGGGTGTCTGCCCAATCTAGGCTTACAGAATATATTCATAATTTCTGAGTTGTGTTTTCATTGAACTGCCATATTTGGGTTGGAGATTTAAATATCTCCCACTACAGACACACAGACACAAACACACACATATAAACTCACACACACAGAGACACATACAGACTTACACTCATACAGACACACACAGACACACATAGGCACAATCAGCAATCAATAAACATTTTATTTGTTTTTTAATTTAGAGGGGAAGGAGAGAGTAAAGCCCACACCAGCACTTGTGACTCTCCTCTCCCACTGGAGACACACCCAGCAGCTTCCCCCTTCCCCACTGTAGTGAAACACACCCTCAAACCGTGGGCCACAACAAACCCTTCCCTTGCTTTTGTTTATCTCAAGGAAAGAGAATTAACTAGGGCTCATGTTCACAGCTCAGGGACTCTGAGCAAGAACACGTAAGTCAGGAGCGAATGCTCGTTTGCCAGAACGACTCCACAGTTCTTGACGCCTTTACAGCCATCAGCACCTGTCTGCTGAGCCTCATGTGTTGTTGCTTGACAGCCCCAAATAAGCCCCAGTGTCTTTACCCTAGACTTAGCTCATCCTCCATGAAAATGAACTTTGACTATGTCTTTCCATGAAATACTAAAAGCCCAGACATGGGCGGCTGAAGAACTTCCATGGGGCTAGCCTGCTGTCTTCCCAGTTGCCAGCCTCCTGCTGCCTACTTTGCCTGCCCCTGCCCTTTCCACATGAGCTAAGCTGTCAATGCTGCCTTCCTGTCTCTACTGAGACTCCCCAGTGTTCAGAGTGCCTTCGATCTATCAGTACAGTCAATGGCCCCACTATGTGCCAGTCTTGTTGTGTGTTTGGAGCTAAAAGCAGAGTCTTACACTCAAGAGCACACATACACACAAACACACACACACCCTGGGCCATCACAGGACCTCTGGACAACAACCAGCCTAGCTGGGTGATTTTCCTTGGGTCTTTGATTGGCAGACCCCTACCTGCCTAAAGCTGGATCCTGAAGCTCCCTAGTTCCTTCCTGCTCTCCCCCTCACTCCCTAGAGCAGCCCCCCATCCTCTTACACCACACCTGGCCAGAGCTCCCTGACTAACCCAACATCAGCCTCCCACACTGACCCAGAACCAGTCCACTACCTTGCCTCTCTGCTTCCTCTGCTGAAGCTGGGGCTGGGGACTCCTGCAGCTGGCTTGAGACGCTTTCTCATGTCCTGATTTTCTCCTTTACATTTGGGTTTTTGTTTCTTCCTCATCTCAGGAGTGGAAACTACAGCTTCCCAGAAAAGGAGAACTGGGGTTAGGCAAACCGAAACTCTTGTGGCTAAACTCTCATAATAATTAACATAGACCTCCTAATTTCTGAAGAGTCGCTGGCAGCTTCTGCAGACAGACAAGCCACGCTTTTGTATGTTACTGAGCTCTCAAATTCATTGGGCAAGCAGGATTGTCTGCAGTCAGGACTGGGAATTTGACACTCCATTGCGATTTTTTTTTTCCTTTTTTAAAAATTGTGTGTGCAGTTCCTGCATACGCCAGAAGAGGGCGTCGATTCTTTCAGAGTCGAGGTTCCAGGCGGTTGCGAGCCCCTGGGAACGGAATCACAGAGCCATCTCTCCACCTCTGCACTCGCAAATCTTGGCAAAGTATTGCTGACACGGTCAGTGTAACATACATTATGGTTAACTGCACAGTCTGTTAATAAATATTTTAGTTAGATTGCCGCTGTGGCCACAAAGGTGAGAGAGAAACGGGGGTGTCCGCGAGCATCCTGGTAGAAGCCACTCAGATGCGTAGCTGAAGACATTTTAATTAGGAAAGACTTAATAAAAATCAACAAGAGAGGGGGGGAAAACAAACAAACAAACAAACAAACAAACAAAACCAGGAGTAATAACAGCAGGAAGCCCTGACCTTTCTAACCAGAATTCAGCAGGTGCGGAAGAACAGCTTCATTGCCCGCTTGGGTGGAGCACAACACGCAGGCTCAAGCAGGGGCACCCTCAGAAATGTTAAGGACAGAGAGGGAAGACTCATGGCCAGTGTTGGGGGGGTGCGGGGGGACATGGGGCCTTGCTCATCTGCTCTCCTATTTTTCAGTGCCCCGTGTGACCCCATCTCCACTCCAAGCAACACCAACTGGAACGGCTGGCCTGGGTAGAGCCATTGAGAGGTTCTCCCAGGTGAGAAGGATGCTAAAAGAGGAGCTTCAAGACAAAGGAGACATCTCTGTGTCAAAGATATCGACACCAAAGGCAGACCACAGCCATCTGGGCTACACCAGATCTCCTGAGGACACTGGAGACCATAGCGTGTCAAATTTCTCCAAGCCTGTCTGCCTCTGTCATCTGACCGTCTCCTCCCAGTCACCCTACGGACCATTTGTTCAACACGAAAGCCCCAGGACAGATCGACTTCAATCATTACCATTTTCAAGCTCTTTTTTATTTCACTTTTAGCTTTCCTGGAATTTTTTTTTTAAAGCCTCTTTTCCATCTGAAATCTATTTTGAGATTATTTTCTGTAAATTTCTCCAATAAAGGTCTCTTTGGTCAAGAGAGCTTTCTTCTGGTGCCAGAGTTCACTGGATAGCTCACTGAACGCCAACGGAGTGGACTGTGTCAAAAACAGAGCCAATTTAGCATGTCTTTTTATATCCCTCTCATTTGTCCATGAAGTGTCTTGAGGCTGGATTTCGAGCTCTGCAGCAAGAGATGACACAGAAATGCACCCGGAGCATTGGTCTTTACAATAAGCCCCACTCAGCCACAGCCTAATTGTGGTGTATGGAAAATATATTAAGGGGAGCTCAGGACCACATATAGGGTGCTACAAAGATGGGCCAGGTCGCCCCAGTGGGACTTGCATGTAGTAGCAGGCAGAGGCACACACCTCTGGCCATAACACCTGTGACAAGAGCGATAGAGACGAGAGGAGAGGCAGGACCAGCTGGGACTGGAGGACTTTGGATAGGAGACTATGGTGAACTACATGTCACAAGAGGCCTTAAGCCTTAAAGCCAGAATGGACACGTAGAAGACACCTTCTCAGTTCTGGGCCTCATACCTAGGTGGAAGGAGCATACTTGAAGTTCCAGAACTAGAAAGGCAAAAGCAGGAGGGTTGAGGGTTCAAGACTACTCAGGACCATAGAGAGATTTCAAGGCCAATCCTAGGCTACAGAGTGAGAGCTCGTAGTGTTCCAAGCAATTTACCTAAAGTGGCAAGAGGTACCTTAGGTGTGGTCAGCACCACCCCAAGAGCTCAGGTCCCTGACCAAATAAAGGAGAGAGCAAGCTGAGCACCAGCCTGTGGCTCATGCTGTCTCCTGACTGGATATGATATGGCTGTTCAGGCTCTCAGCTCCACGCTTCCTGCCATAGCGAACCGAACCATCTCAAACCATGGGCCAACATAAGCCTTTCCCTCCACTCTTCGGTTGCTTTTGTCAGATACTCTGCCATAGCAATGAAAAAAAGAAGCTAGCACAGACCACAGGACACAGCAACGCAACACACACACATGTAGAAGGATATAGAAAAAGCATACAAGGCTATCTAGATACCTCAGTGCGTAAAGATGCCTGTCATCAAAGACTGACAGACAACCTGAGTGTTCGAGCCCCAGCACCCACATGGTGGAAGGAGAGAACTGAATCTCGACAGATGTGCTCTGACCTAAACACACTGTGGCATATGTACTTCCTCTGCTACAAAATTAAATAAAAGTGATAACTTTTAACTCACAGATGCACAGAGCATACATACAGAGACAGAAAGCACATGAGAATTCAGCACACACAAATGCAACAGACACACACAAATATATACACAACTAGGTATAATAGTGCATGCCTATAATTCCAGCATTGGGGAGATTGAGATAGGAAGATCTTGGGTTCAAGACTAGCCTTGCCTACACCAGCCCTAACATAATAAGCCAAGAGTACTCACATGCTTTAATCCTGTCACCTCAGGGGCAGAGCAGGTGGATCTCTATGAGTTTGAAGTCAGTCTGGTCTATATATTACGTTCCAGGCCAGTCAGGGCCACATAGTGATACTTTGCCTCAAATTTCAAATAACAGTAGCAATGATCATAGTTATAATTACAAGGACCCCTGTTTGCTGAGAGAGTGCTACTGTATCTATTACCTCATTGCATGCAGACCATCACCTTGGGGCAGTATTCTTTTTCTAAACGAATACACTGTAGCTGTCTTCAGACATACCAGGAGAGGGCATCTAGTAGTATTACAGATGGTGGTGAGCCACCATGTGGTTGCTGGGAATTGAACTCAGGACCTCTGGAAGAGTAGTCAGTGCTCTTTACTGCTGAGCCATCTCTCCAGCCCCTGACAACCACCTTGAAAGAAGGACCAATTGTTATCCCCATTCTGCACAGGAGAAAGCTGTACCATTGAGGGAGCAGCTGTTCACACTGAAATAACAGCCGATAGCCAGCAAAGCCAGAGTCCAGTGCTGACCCCGTACCCCACACCATTAGCCAGTTCACTCACAAATCCAGTGCCTGAACAAGGACCTCAAAGATTGATGAGCAGGCTCTCCTATGCCTAACCTTTCTGTATGTGCTCTGAATTCAGGGTTGTGTCACTCAGTTACAGGTCAATAGAACAACAGAAAACAGCTTATAACATTGGAATCTCTGTGACCCACGCTGTCATCATTGTCAGGAACCAGCCAACACTTCATTGCACAATTCCTTCCAGGTCCAGCCTGCAGGTTCACTGGCACAGAAGTTTTGGTGTGACCATATGTGGTGAGGTAGAGGGCTGTTGTGGGGTGGGGGATGGGGCTTCAGCCAAGCAAAAAGGTATAAACCAACAGTGAGTCATAGCCACAGAGCAGCTGGGGACCTTTCAGGATCACTAGAGAAGAGAGTACGGCGTATTAATGACCTCATGTTCCACTAAATCTATAGGCAAGGATACACAATGATCGGTGGAACCTTAAAAAGCCCATGAATAGATTCATGGTCAATTGATTGACAGGCAAGAACACAAGGCACTTAGAAGGAGAAGCAACAATTTCTGTGGCTGGAGAGATGACATAGTTGGTAAAGTACTTGCCACATGAAGTTGAGGCCTGAATTTGGTCCTCGAGAGGCACATAAAAAACCACACACGGTGGTACACTCTCGGAATCCCAGAGTCAAGGAGGCAAAGACAGGAGGATCCCTGTTTTGAAACAGGGTCTCACTGTGTACCCCTGGATAGCCTAGAACTCACTATGTAGATCAGGCCGCCCTGAAACTCACAGAGATTCACCTGCCTCTGTCTCCTGGTTAGTTTTTATTATCAACTTGACACAACTAAGAGTCACCAAGAAGGAAAGTCTCATTTGCTGGTTGCTCAAGTATCACAGATGGTTGCGAGCCACTGTGTGGTTGCTGGGAATTGAACTCAGGACCTCTGGAAGAACAGTCAGTGCTCTTTACTGCTGAGCCATCTCTCCAGCTCCCAACAACCACCTTGAAAGAAGGACCAACTGTTATCCCCATTCTGCACAGGAGAAAGCTGTACTGTGAGGGGGCAGCTGATCACACTGGAATTGTGGCTCTGTCTGTGAGGGGTTGTCGTGATTGTTGACTGATGCAAGGGATCCCACCCTGGGGAGATGGTCCTGAACTGTATAAGCTGGCTGAACACGTAAGCAACAGTCTGCCATGGCTTCTGCTTCAGTGCCTGCCCTGACTATCCTCAGTGAGAGCCCGTGACCTGAAAATGTAAGCAGAATTGAGCTTTTCCTCTTCAGATTGGTTCTAGTCACGGCATTTATCACAGCAATGGGAGAGCAAACTATACACAATGGAGCTTTCTCCACTGAGCACTCCCACTGACCTTCCTCACAGCAGGGAGAGTCATGCCTTGTTCTCTGGGTAAACAGTGTTCAGACAGAAAGACTGGCAAAGACAGCAAGCTTAAGAATCCACCACAGGCCCTGCACTTGGCTGGACTGCAGACGAGCCTTCTAGAGCATTCTTGCTTACAAGATTGCTAGCGTTCCCCTTTCCCTGTTATCTCCAGAGACTCACATTTTCAGCCTCGTGAGAGATCTCCATCAGTCCTGTTTAGTCAGCAGACACTGCCCTGTCAGTGACAACAGCCTGTGCACACAACAGCGTGTACCTTGTTGGTTGGCCTCTTCACAGAGTGTATTTCAGGTAGAAGTAACAATTCCTGTTTCCGCTTCTACTTGGAAAACAAACTGTC